CCAGCCATTCGCAAGCGGTTAGTATTTCCCAATTCCTGAAACCTCTGCACACTCACTGATCTATTCTTCCTAAGGTCTCGAGAGCACTCGCCTCACTCCCCCGCTCCGCAGACCATCAGCCAGCAACGTGGTCATTTCAGACCCACGATGTCCCACTGATGGACATCAACAAAAGTTTCTCAGAGAAGAAACCGAGCTTCGGGCCAACGACGTCGACCGAGTAAAGAGTATGAGAGCAATAGAAGCGTGCCTAACTCTCGCCAGCTCCATACCCAAATACCCCACACTCTTTTAGCTTTCGAATGTACTTATTCTGCAGGTCTACCCATAGAAGGACGGTTTTTGACATACCTCTGGCTGAAACCGCAAACTTCAAGACAATTCCACAGGACAACCGATGCAAGGCTCATTCGCGAAGCACCACCCTCAAGACCGTGTAGAAATGCAGCGCTCCAAGCACAGTAGAAGTCGCTATCCCAAAGATCTGGCTAGAGTACTTCATAGGATAAACCCGAGCGAAGATGATCGTCCATTGGCAGTCGAGGTAGGAACCAGGCCGATCCAAGCGAGCTCAACAAGCGTCGCGCACGATCCGGTCCAGGCACACACAATAATCGCTGGGCTTGCTTTCGTATGGTCGACTTATCACACATGTTGCTGCTCCAAGCTATGGGAGTTGATGAAGTTCGTCGTCAAGCAGGCACATGGAGCGAGGGCCGCCATCCGCCGCCATCCCCACAGCAAACGACCTTGGAGCTGCTCAACGATCTATTCGATGGAGTTAATCCACGAGTGACCACCTCCGCGGAACCTGAACCACTGGACGATGCCGTACGAAGCCGATAGCCTAGGATTGCTTCTGATTTCTTGGACGACTGCTTTCCAGAGGTCTCAAGGGCATGCGGACTGTCAAGGGGTCCTTGAAGCGTCGTATACTTGACGGTACGTAGCCATATGCTAGATAATATCGACGAAATCAGCCTCTGGATTTCCACAAATACATATTTGTTCTTGCCACACGAAATCGATTGGCGACTGAGTTCATTGCAATTCTCTTCCGTCCAGACTACTTAGAAGTCAAGGAAGCTTCTGAAAATCTTCTCTGACTGACTGACATGGCAGCGGATCAACGATTTGCGAGGCTTCTGAACCTGCACCAGATCGAAGCCTTGATCTGCTATGTATGGCCAAGGACATCTTGCTTCCAGTCGACCTGCCAGAAAGGCTTATGCTTCGTTCATCAGGAATGAGAACCGAGACGGAGATATGACTCGGGCGAAAGTTCAGTCGCAGACGAGCATAAAGATACAACAGGGTAGGATTGGGTATACCCCTCGCAAAGTACAAAAGGACAGGGTAGAACAACGAATGGTGACTAGTAAAGTACAGTAAGAAGAAAGGTCGAAATAGAGAAAGAGTAGCACGTAAGAAGATGGTTTCTTCGCCGGAAGATGGGGGTCAGGTGCAGTGGGTTGGTACAAATGAGGTGATGGGGTATAGAGTAGTAGTGTACAGTGTCCAGGAGACTGAGAGTCGTGATAGATGAATGAGCTATGATACAGTGGATGCGTGATGATGGGTCATGCTAGGGCAATTGAAACATGCAAAGGAAGAGATGGATGATGCCAGACTCTGATTTAAAGCGCCACGGGACCATTGTATGGAGGCATGACCTTGGTCTCCTCTGAAGGCGAGAATGCATGTCGCTGCAAAGGATCAATACGTGCGAAAGGGGCACAGGATGGCTGAGTCTACGTACTGTGTGTGGGTTCCTCGACACAGGAAGAGTAGGAAGGACACTTGCGCTCCAGAAACTCGATGTCACACGCTTCTTTGGGGAAGGAAGTGAGGTGTAGCTGTCCCTGTTTCTTGACTGGCTCGCCTCGGAATTGGTGCCAGATTGAGTCCTCTCTCGGGCGTTGAGGAGAGCGAGGAAGGATCCGACATAGACTGTGCAGGTTCAATGTTGGATCAGTGACTGCATACAACTTGTATCGGCGTGACGTACACTTTGTGAGGAGGAACTCCAGTGCTAGGAAGGCAAAATTATTGGGAGCGACTACGAACGCCACCAGAGCAGCAATCGAGCAAGCGCTAATTCAAACTGTTCAGAAACCACACTGGGCATCAAGATGTGCGCAACTGACCTCGTGAGGAGTCCCGAAGCCATGACATACTGAATCACGACAGAGATCCTAGTGTTGAGTTTCGTCCTAACAACTTGGTGAGACGACCGTTCACGACTCTGCCGCCCGCGGAGTAACGTACCTAGATCCAGTACCAATGCTCTTGTGGAGGTAGTAAACCATCGCGAGGGTGATAAGGAAGTCGATGACTGTTGCGGTTGCGAAGCCTGCTTGGAGAGCCCACTGGGATAGCCGTGTCAACCAATCGTGTCATGGACCCTGAATGGACGGATAAACTCACCCGAATCTGCTCCAGTTGAGCGTAGGAGTTGATGGTGAACACTTTGTATGCGAGCACTGAAGATAGGGAGCTTGTTAGCAACTGCGTGCGGCATGGACTTGAAGTGGAGACGTACCGATGCCGACTGCAGCTGCGGCTCCCAAAGCCAGAATCTGGGTGAGTTCAGGTAAGTAAGATACATTGGTGAGCCTATCGGGGGACATACTGTGATATAGCCTAGGAAACCACGGTGGTATCCACTGAGCTTCCATATCCGTTGCCCGTAAAGACTGGTAACGGACTGTTAGGATTGTTGACTTTCGAAGCTAGGAAAAGAATCTCACCAATGGACCAGAATGATGACGATAACCATGACCGTTACTTGCGCCTGAGATTCTCCTTAGCCCCTTCCTTCATAACCCTTGTTGGAAAATGAACACACCTGCATCGACCTGTAGAATGCTGTTAAGTCAATCTACACCCTCGCTGCAAGGATCGCTCAACGCACCAGTGAACCCTTGCCAATCCTTGCAAGTTCCCAAAATCAGTCACGACGTGCGTGTACGACGCGTACATTGTCAACGCCAAATGCACGGCGTCAAGACTCCAAAGCAGCGCCACAGAAACTTTGTGCAACACGATGTCGTTTGGGAAGGAGTGGAAGTAGTAGCCCAGTTGTAGTGTGTTGACTCCGAAAAGGCTTTATGATCGAGGGACACATAATCAGTGAAACTGTACGAACGTGAAGATCAGGGAGGGACGTACAAGCCTGCACCGATGACACCGAGGAAGATCGCTCCGACTGTGTTATCCAACGTCTGCGTCATAGAACCAAAGTGTAGGGGAGCCATAGTTGTTCCTTCGTCGTGCGATGGGAGGGGGATGTCAAGCGGACGAGTGTACGCGAAGGAATGAACGAGGGGAGAGGGAAGGGGAGGGAACGAAAACCCAAACGACGACCCCAAAAACCAAAGGAATAAAAACCCGGCGAAGAAAACGAAGGACCGAAGAAAACGAAATGGAGCGAAGCGCAGGGGACCCAAAAAACCTCATGAGTGATTAACCCATTGTTTCTTATATATCATGCACTGAACCGCGTGTAAACGGCCCCACCGATACCCTTGAGCCCTGTTCGAACCTCGGTGAAGCGGTGTCCGTGAACATGCCTCGCATACGAGAACAATGAACAACAATGGGGTTGGATGCGGATGCGGATTCAACTTCCGATAGGGATGAGGGGTGCCCTGATACGGACGCAATAGACTTTTTGAGTCGAGTGGCAAGACCAAGTTCGGCTGCGGATATCGAGGGACGGGGCGTAGGCACTGTGCAGCGTCCGATGCTGGGGAGTACATCGCCTTTCCACATCCTCGTGGTCGGGTAACCCGAAGGAGGTCGAGGGTGTGGAAGGTACCACCTGGAGTAGATTAGACGCCGTACTAGTGTCCTATTAGAAGTCGCTCGCGGGAGCTTCTATGAGGAATAGGATAGACATCTTTTCCTTCGAGGTGTAGAGAAGTTTCCACGGTCAAGGGTAAGGTAATCTTCTACCTGGGCGGTCAATTGAATTGAAATTGGAACCTGCATAACCCAGCGTTGGATGAATGAATGAATGAATCAGCGAAATGATAAGGCGATAATAAGACCAAACTCGGTCTTGTGGTTGTCGGTTGTATCCGCAAGTATGGAGAAGTCAAAGAGCAATGGGGGACGATACTTAGTGCTTACCTCTTCTGGTTTGTCAACAACTAAACTTTGGACAAGGCCATCCATCCATCTACCCATCCGTTCGGACTTCGGAGGAGGACTCGTGAACAGTGACCCTAGCGAACAATGTGACATTCAATCGGTCAGTTGTCGTGGCGCCCCACTCTACGACCAAGTGAGATGGGAGTTCATGGGGAGTTGAGCAAGGGCACGGTGCTTGGAGAGTTCCGGAGATTGGACGGGTTGAATGGCTTGACACCACCGTAAAGTCCTTCGCTGAGAGGAACGAGGAGCGGCAGGTATGAGCCACCACACGAGGCAAAGGGCAGGGCAGGCAATTGGAACTAGTTCATATGTCGCTGTCACTGCCTGGCGGAAAACGCAGAGCTCGGTTACTTTCAGCTGACCGGGTGTCGTTCCTGCCTGCCAGTCCTCGGACAGGGTGCTGCATGTCAAACTACAGCCCAGCGACCAGATGCCCGCTCAGGTGTGACAGATGCATTCTCTGGATCCCATGGTTCGAGGGCCTATAGATCCTCTAGGCTCGCAGCACTGATCCTGGACTGCACCAGAAGCAAGTTTGTTGATCCCAGGACATGTCGTCAGCATCGGACGTAGGCAGCCTCGTGTTTCCAGATGTGACTGTCAAATGACAAGAAGTAAAGAAGCACATTCCCAGTCCGGTATTCGCGGGTATTGGCAGGAACAGCATCTGTTCTGCCAGGAAACGACAAAACGAGCTGGATTGAAACGGCGGGCTCGTGGATATGGTCAAGGGGAAGGGACGTGACGATGAAGGTTTCTGGAGAGTGCTCTTTCGGTCAAACGAATGGAGATCAGAAGACTTGTTATCGGGATCTATAAGGTGAGGAAAAGCCCATCTTCATGGCCTTATGGTCTAGTAGTATGATTCCTCGTTTGGGCATCCGTTTAATTCGAGGAGGTCATGGGTTCAATTCCCATTGAGGCCCTTTTTGTTTTCCATTTTTTGGCCCTTAAATCCTGCCCCCAGGCTATCAGGACTTGACATCCCCGCCTGATTTACACGGTCAGGAAATATTCGTGTCGAAAACTTTTCGGCAAGACATCGAAGCAGGAGGGGTTCATAGTGCTCGCTAGTCTGCGCCATTTCTGTACTGAGAAAATTGGCATGGGAGCTCCTCAGAGCCCAGCTCCCTATGTCCTCGTGCTGAATACAGCCGGACGGTGCTTCAAATAAGGTCCAGGGAAGAGCAGCTTGTCCAAAGGCGCCTATTTACACAAATGGCACTCTATTTCCACGCCTTCCGGAAGGATCCGTGACCGCGTCCCGCCCTGTGCGCTGGGCAAAAACCACGTCCAGCAAAACACTCTCCACGTCGTTCAACCTCGTTCCCAAAAGGTCTTCGCCACTGTCAACCAGCCATGAGCAGCATCACTTCGCTCTTCTCGTCGCTCTTCTCCTCTGAGCCCATCTATAACGACTCGGAGAAGGCTGCTCCGGAACCCGAGAAGGAGGAACCTGAGGCAAAGGAGGAGGAGGCCCCGGCAGAGGAAGAAGAGGAGGAGGAACCTGAGGACGTACGTGTTGGGTGGAAGGACTGTATAGTCTCCTACTGACTCAATGTGGCTTACAGCTCCAACCCGTTATTCGTGAAGAGTGCAAGACCGAGCGATGTGCTGCTTTGGCAAAGCACTTCGAGCATTGTCAGGAGAAGGTCCAGGCTGGCGAGGGTTTCAAAGGGGAGGACTGCGTTGAGGAACTGTACGTGTACCATTTGAACCTCGTGTCGATACATTTGCTGACCTTATTTAGATGTAAGCCGAGTCTCTGCATTTTGTGCGGGGCAACTGACTGACGGGATATTCTCTCTTTCCCTACGCGTTACCCGATGGCCATACAGTCCAGTACGTCTCGCTTAATTACATATCCTGACCATGACACTAATACTGACCTGGTGCGCTTACAGCATGATGCATTGCATTGACGTACGTTGTCTCGTATTGCCAGAGGTTGACCGAGGTTCCTAACGTCTCCAATAGGATTGCGCGGGCCCCAAGCTCTTCTCAAAGCTTGCTTGAGCACACATTAGATGGTACCTGGTCATTAGTGAGTTCCTGTTCGCTTAACCCGTGCCCTGTACCGTTGGCTGACATCCCCAAGCAAACCCAGCTCTCAGTTGTACGCGCCGAACCACGGTTCCAATATACGAGCTATATATACATAGAAGAGGTTTAATTTCACCTATTCTTTAACCGAACATCTCCTCAACAACATCTCAACTCCAAGTTTATGGTGGTTGGATGCACACTTGCGTTGCTCAAGCCAATGTCACTGCGTCGTCTGGCCTGGCGGGGGCTACGAAACCCAGAGAACATCCTCGTTCCAGTCTTGTGCCCGCCAGCAATGTGGGTGGCATTACGCACTAAGGAAGGTGGTCACGACTGCGGCTTCCAGGTGCTTATGGCGTTTACTGGGGGCCACTCACGCCTTCTGCCTTCGATTATGTCCTTGAATCTCATCGTAAGGCCCATACTCACTGCCGCGCTTCAGAAGAGGTCCGAATACAACCCATCCATCGGTCCTATGGTACCACGTACCTGCTGCAGGCGACATGCCCTGGTAAGCTCTTTGTGTTTCCATGATGTTGAATCCCGTATTAGAGGTTACTCGATTGTAGGCCCCATTTTGTGGAATCGCTAAATGCGGGCTGTCCTACTCCCCTGACTGGCTCTGCTAGGGACTATCGTAAGTCCATTTATCATCGCCAAATCTCAGTTGCTTATCGCTATGCAGTGTACCATATATATATAAACTCCGTTCCTAACGAACTGGGGGAGATATCCAGACTGGGGTTGCCTATGATTCTTGTCTCTTATGAATCATCTTGGCCTTGCATATCGTTTTTGTGGGCTATGGCACTCCGCTGGCGCATGCGCTGCAATAACGCCTGCTGGTTACCGATGGCCTGTGTTTGTTCTAATCTCCTCCATACTCATCGGTTGACGCCAACTGTTTCTTGTATCGAAATTCTGATATGCGCAGTTGGATCGGGTTCACGTTCTGTCCAGAATCAGGAGAGGAAGAGTTAAAGATGATATCAGGGAAACCCATGTGGACATCGGTCAGGCAGGAAGTACGTTCTGCAATCGCCAGCCAGGCTATGTATACATGCCCCAGCCCAATATTCTGTGGGGTTCGAATGTTTGAAACCTTGGATACGCTCCCTTCAATCTGCGAGACGCTGTGGAGGGACCCAATCATGGTTCCACCTTGGACGGGAGTATAATTACTGACCATTTATTTTAAGTGCCGATCATGCAAAAACAGCCATTTCGAAAGAAGGCGAGCGTCGTCCTCTCTCTGCTGCAGGCGCGCCTACGGAATACAACTTGGGAAGAGAGCACGGTCGACGCAGTTGGTTCATGGAGGTTAACTCATAGGCCATATGTATGAAATATCTGATTCACGATCAACCCTTGCTCCAGTCCCATCAGGGATTCAGACCTAAGACCCACAGGCGCTGGATTTCATTTGATCCAAGGTCAAGTCAAAAGACGATCTTTTGGCGCAAAGTGTGTTGATCATAGAAGCAATGTCTTTTTGAGGTAGAGTTTCATACTATAAAGTCATGGCCAAGGTCAGAGTAACAATTTAGATCGTCTTCCTGATTCCCACTCGTTCCCTTCGAATCAACGTGCGAGCCCCCCTCCCACAGTACTGTTTCTAGGTATGGCCGAATACAAACCTTCAAAGGCTGAGAAGGACGCCTACGGTACCATGCTTGCCGCCTCACAATTTGGAGGCTCGATTGTTGGAAGCGCTCTCTACGGTGAGGGTGTCAGCCGAATGCCAATATGGGTCTTGCTTACCTTGACCGATCAGGTATACATCTCTTCATGGTCCTCTCCAGTCTGTCCGCATTCTTGAGGAGGTCAAAGGAGGCTCGCAAAGGCCACCTCCACTATATTTTAATCAGCTGTATAATCCTTGTGACGTTCTCTGTCGACTTGGCGCTCGACATGCGGAGAGTCTTTCGTGTCCTCTTCACTGGAGGACCTGACCCGTGGTCATACCGTTCTGCCTATCTTAACAATGAGCAAACGGACAGGAATCCTACCCTTGCTGGCGATGCAATGCTCGCCGTCACTATTGCGATAAGCGATACCGTTATGGTGAGTCCCCTTAAGTTCCTTAACGATGGATCACTTACAGAAGCCGGTATTAGCTCTGGCGTTGCTACATCTTATGGAGTCAAAAGAGATGGGTTATCCTTCTCCCATGCCTAACTTGCGTCGGGGCGATCGGTAGGTTTATACACTGTATACTAAATCTCATTTACTTAGCGCTAGTAGTTTGCCATATAGCATATCTCATCTCCATGAGGAACTTGAGCATAGCCCCAAGCACCGTGGTCAAGACGATCATAGCCTCAGCGTCTCTGAGTGTTGCCATGAACATAATGGTCACTTCGTTGATCCTGCTACGACTTTCACTGACTTGGTGGCACACATCAAAGGCATTTCCTAACCGCAGGACCCCTCGCATGTACTTGGACGTCGCAGGTATCCTCATTGAGGCTGCAGCACCACTGGCAGTCCTTGGAATCTGCTTTATCACCACAGCAGCCATTGATAACTTGCACCAACCCGAAGGACTCATTCCACACGGGAGGCTATGGGCACTTATTGAAATATTCTCATGGCTATACTATTCCTTCTGCGTGAGTACGATACTCTAATACGCCCGGAGTCGTTATGCTGATACTAAAATTGTGTCCCCAGGCTTTATCGCCCCAGATGATTATTTACCGCGTCGCAACTGGCCGATCTTGGACGGACACCACAGAAAGCCAGGCAGGAGGGGCAAATGTCTCCCAGCCTATCCAAATTTCTCGCGCTGTGGGGGATGTCGGTGGTAGCGAGTCGTCGAGCAATGACAAAGTTTAAGAGTGCCAAAACTTGTAACCGACATATGAAGAATTGTTGACATTTTCATATCTGTAACTTGTGGAAAGCCGACGGGACAAGATGCAAACAAGGTTGGCTGATACCCCTTTAGCATTTCGTTAGATCGAAACGCCTGCTGCCCTTAACTGGACTGTCAAGGTCCGTGAAATGGTACAGTACGGCGCAATCTGGACTGGACATGCAGCACCTCTGTGAGTCGGAGACAATGAACATCAAATGAAGACAAGCTCCAGCGTGTCAGACTAGTTTCCATCTTACACTAGTTGTCGACCTCATTTCCAAAAGGTCTTTCGCCACTGTTAACCAGTCATGAGCAGTATCACTTCGTTCTTCTCGTCGCTCGTCTCCTCTGAGCCCATCTATAACGACTCGGAGAAGGCTGCCCCGGAACCCGAGAAGGAGAGACCTGAGGCACTGGTAGGCTTACTGCTCCAACCCGTTATTCGTGAAGAGGGCAAGACTGAGCGATGCGCTGCTCTGGCGAAGCACTTTGAGCATTGCCAAGAGAAGGTCCAGGCTGGTGAGGGTTTCAAGGGCGAGGACTGTGTCGAGGAACTGTGAGTCGAATTGAGCGTTCTAATTGAATAAATCCCCTGACACAATTCGGTTTCAGATGTGCGTTATAACTTGCAGCCTATCGTGTTGAACCTTTGACTAATCGGAAGATGAATTTCGCTTCACGCGCTGCTTGACGGCTCTATAGTCCAGTATGTTTCATTAGACTCCAGGACCGACGCGAATACTGATCTTGTTCTCGCAGCATGATGCACTGCATCGACGTAAATCTTCGTCTATCGCTTGACCTTGATTGTGGTTTCTAACAGCTCCGACAGGATTGCGTAGGTCCCAAGCTCTTCTCAAAGCTTGCTTAAGCACACATTAGATGGTACTTCCTCATTAGTGAGCTCCTGTTCACTTTCCCTTCATGTATCATTCGTTGACGCTCATCACAAGGCAAACCCAGCTCTCTCGGAAGGCGCAGCGGACGACGGTTCCATATACGAGCTGTATATACATAGAA